GTTTTCACTGAAGAGAAGCTGAAATGCAGGAAGTTTATATAATGTCATCTCTCAGACTGTAGACCTTGTGAGGACATAAAAGGGTCTTGAAAGAGGAGGGTATCAAAACTAGATTTTGGCAATGTAGAAGATGTGCTGTCCATGTAGTTCTGTCATAAGTTTTAAAAATACTCTTATTAAATAAGTTTTTCCTTCCTTAAGACCAGGTAATACACAAAGCAAATAAGAGTCCAGGGGTCAGAATCTTCAGTTCTTAGTTATTCTCTATGAGCTTTTTTTTTTCGACTTTTCTTCATAAGATTCTCCATACTCATTTACTCTGCTCTTATCCACAGGATAAAGCCTGGCAGAAAAAAACCAAATCTTTAGTTACATTACAGTCTCCTATCTGAAGGAATTAAGTAGTTCAATGATGCTTAATTTTAAAAGTGAATTTCTTTGTCATCGTGTTCTCTATTTCCATTTGTGGTAAAACCCAGCATCTTTAGAGATTTGTACAGACATATCAGCTTCTTCACAATATGACTCAACCACTTGTGTCAGGACCTCATAAGAGACATACTAGTTCCCTTAAAGCTTGGCTGGAGTCTTTTCCCAAGTAATCCAGACTACCTCAACTTCACTATGAACAGTGTTTTCTAAGCAGTGCATACATAGCGCATTCTTTCTCATCTGATTTTTTAGTTACTTAAAGAATCTGAAACTCAACAGGTACTCAGCTTACAAGAGAACCTGATAATTTGTTTTTGCAAAACAGATAAATAGAAAAGCAGAGCAGGGCAGTCCCCCATCAGAAAACACCCTTCACTACTGCCCTGCATAACCTTGGAGAGCATTTCTCAGACATTGAGCATATGGAGATGGGGCCCTCAGCAAGGGTTAGAAGCCCAGAAATCCTAAGTGGGTTTGTGAATACAAGCTTAGGAATTTCTCTCCTTCCCCTTACTTCAGGTATTTATGTCTCACATTTGATTTGTGGGTTTTTTTGTTTAGAGTTTTTTTGTGTTTTTAATTTTTGTGGTTTTTGCTTGGTCTTTCTTTTGATTTTATTTCTTTTAGGGGGTAGGAGGTTTGTGACTTCCAAATCTGCTGAAAAGAAACTGTTGTGGGGAGGGAAAAGGGGTAACTGACAACAATTCTGGAGTATTGTGAGAAGAGGAATTTTCAGACTATTCTGTATCACATCCAGGATTACCGTCAGGTATGAGAAAATGTTTCTGTTCCTCTTATTTGTATTGAGATCTCCTTTGCAGGGTGCCCTGCTCACCATTCCCTTCACTAGGCACATACATAACTAACATTATCCAGACCATACTATACTATAGATTATCACAGTATAAAACTTCTGCTTCAAGTCTATCCCAATCTATAGTTCTTTATAGCAACAAGACTGCAACCATCTATAGCACTGTAAAAGATGTAATGTGTATTAAAGAAAGTCATACCATCTTTGGTAGAGATAGACCAGGAACACAACATCGTCTCTAAAGCATGCCAGCCTATGAGATGTTGGCATAGTGATGATAAAAGCAAATATATCATCAATAAAGGTGTTGAATGCCTAGAAATAAAAGAAAAGTATACTTCAGCTGGCTGTGAAGAAAAGAAGTCATCAGTCTTACAAAGTTCAAAGCTTGCTATGTTTTTCTGTGGGAACACAGACTTCTTCCATATTTGTAACAACACTTAAAAGGTTATGCTGCAAAACTAATTAATGCAAATGTTAAAATGCCTTCTTTTAATGAAGACCATACTGTCTACTACAGACCACAAGTTACAAGTAAAAAGGAAGTAGGACTGTTTCAAGTAAGTGAGAGTATTGTCATGGGAGGGGAAAAACACAGACTCAATTTCAGAGAAAAAGTCAAAAGAAACTGGAAAAACCCCCAGACTTTTGTTCATTCATTACTCAAATGGCAAGATTTATAAAATGTCGTTTCACTTCCGTTTTCTCTAGAATTTGTGTAAAAATTTGTTAATTTATTGCTCTTAAGAAGATTAACTTGGAAAGGCTTTAAAGTATTTTCAGTGCTTTCCTGGAAGTAACCACTTGTTGAATAAGGGATGGAAAATTTTCTAAACCATTTCCAATCAACAAGACATACCAGAGGCTCTATTTCTGCAGCAATAATGAAAGGTAATTTAACCAAAAGGCAACTTGTCTGGATCTGGCTCTTGGCTACAGGGAGGCTGAACACATCAACTCT